GATCGAAACCTTTTCACTATTTACCCTGGACGAATGGCCGTATAGTAGCTGTTAGGTGGACAGATGGATGTCAATTGATCTGGGTGACTACGCCAATAAATGGCTCATAGGGCAATCCGAACAAGAAGACACATTTATGCATTGACAACTAGTTAGTGGATATATATATATATATATATGGATAGATGGAAAAATGTTGCCAAGGCAATAGATATAAATAAGTAAATGTAGGCAGACATGCTATTTATGTGAAAAACTTAGTAGATGGATTGCTTCGTGACATCTATTCATTATATGCTGGAATAATTAGGAATTTGCTTCTACTTCCTCTTGTCCGACCAAAAGTTAGTGAATAAGATTCTCGTTGAGGACGAAACTGTCTCGCTACTCATCCAGTAAGTGCTTGTTTCTCGGTTATGAATGGACGTGGGAAGGGATGTATGTCTGCGGAAGCAGAGGAAATGTGGATGCTGCAAACATGTCTGCCCGTCTGGCATCGGCAAGTAGGTCAGGCAAGAAGATGGCATTCGAATTGAATGGGATTTCGTGACTGTTATCAGATCTTGCGGCCTACTCAGCTGATTTTGGCTCTTGATCACTCTGAGGGACCCAGATTGACGGTACGCTCTTATTGAGTAGCTACTGATGCTCCCACTACTTAGTGCGAATATAAGTAGTGCTGACGACTGCAATAACAAATGCATGCTTGCTTTAGCGACAATCCAAATATGCAATAAAAGCACAGGCTTTGCTTGTGGTGAAATTCAATTGGGCCTCGCGACCAAGTTGTTGTGACATGTCGAGGTTATACCATATCCTGCAGCCCAATTCGGCCGGGCTGAGAAGACCTCTCGTAAGGAGAAGTAAATTGAAATTCAATTGCATTGTCAGGCCTACTCTTGTGACTTTGGTACAAGCAGCAAAGACGCTCAGGCAGCAGGTATTCACCATTTTTCGTTTAATGTGATCAAGGACTGGTAGTCGAATTTTCACACAATCATATAGAATTTCACATTGTCTTGCTTTCCCAAAAGTCGTTCTCATCCCGACTGGAGTGGACTGCAGTTTCGACCTCGCATCAACTGGTCTCATCAACACCCCCAGCCGGAGTCGAACCGTGACAGCGCGGCATGTCAGCTTGACACGTCAACCACTCGGCCACATGGGCACGAGTGTCCTTGGGTCACAGGGCAGAGGTGGATTTCAAGGAAGGTCAGGCCTTTTGCCATATCATACTCTTTGGTGGAAACGTATATTTGCTATAACATCGCTCAAAATAGGAATAATGTAACCCAACGACTGGTCAAGGGGTACTTCAGGCCTGATGCAATGTTGCCGATGAAAGCAGACGATATTTGCTCTTTGAGGCTCACTTCCATTCGGGGTGGAAGTGAGTGATGAAGAGTTTTGAAACGCGATCCCACTCAAGTTCGCTGCATCTAGTCCGGAATCGACGAGAGCAATCTATGAAGCTCTTATTTTCACACTTTCACTTGATACAAAAGCAAGCTGTCAGCAACAGTTGACCAAGAGACTCTTTGTCAGTCGAACCGTCATCGTGTCCGGACACTCTGGCCGGGTGGAATCGGCGGTGACCAGCAGAGCTCGAAATGGCGTCCTCCACAAGAGGCAGTGGACGACCAAGCCACGGACGGTGGGCTGCTGCCTCGTCGCCACAGCTACAACCGACCGATGCTGTCCACAGAC